CTGGCTCCTGAAATTTGATCATCCTTAATGTGCCTTGGTAATCTGGCCCCCAGATGTCTGACCATTCTTGTTAAAAGCCAAGTCTGCATATTGCTGGCTCCTTGAGGAGAGGATATGGTGACCATCTCTATGGCAGCCGAAGGCCACAGGACATGCATCCAGCCTTCACCACCTCTGTAACTAACATCTGTTTCTGTTCCTCCTCTGAGAAGACAAAGAAAGACCTGGCTGACTTGAAGACCTACAGGTTATCAGATTAGTGTCACCACCTCCTCTTTACTGTCAACAAACAATCACCCTTAACTCCCCTCTTTGGCTAGAGACTTTCCTCTTCCTTCCCCACTGTGTCTGGGGATGAAGAGAATTGAAGTTGGCTTGTCTATAACCAAGGTCTGCTGGTCTGCAGCTCTGTGTAAAGGCCCCTCATTTTAGAGAAAAGGACCTGCTTCTGCCAACTTGCCCCTACCCCAAAAGAAGAAACTTAATCCTTAATCAGATAAATATCTTCACTGACATTTATATAGAACTGCATCATTTACAAAATATTTATATAGCATTTTACATGTTACAATATATATGCAAGTAGTATGCCCAAGATGACTCAGCAGGTGAGTGGAGCAGACTGGACAAAGAGGTAGGTCTACTGGCCAACATTCATTTGCCTTTGTGGATAGAGGAAAGATGGAGTGGTGATTCCATTGCCCAGGCAGCCCCTTAGCAGCTGGTCCCTATAGGAGACCAGTCAGAGAGTTGAATTAGGAATCAGAAAGTCCAGTCTGTTCTGTGTCCTATCTCAAGGAAGCTGTGTGACCTTAGGCAAGTCACTTCAGCTCTCTGAGTCTGTTTCCTCATCTGTAAATTAAAGAAATCTCTTGTATTCCTATTAACTGAAAGTTGACACATCTATAGTATAAAACCCCAGAATAAGACCAATCCATTTTTGGGTGTTCTATCCCAGCACACTATATTGTCTGATGAATTGGGGTCCTTCTTCATGTTCAGTAAAGAGAATTCAAGTTGTCAGAATTAGCCATTGAACCATTGAGAAATTTAGGATAGATACCAGCGTTCAGGAAAATATATATTTGGCAGATTTAAGTTCATTATATAGACTTAGGTTGAGAAAATCTGTAAGAAAAATAGGAAATGCTTTGAAAGGGATTACCCATGCTACCACTCTGCAAATTATCATTCTTATTAACCAGCTTCAAACTATTCAGGGAAGTCAGTGAGTGTAGTGAACCAAAAAGCAAGCACCTTTTCCAGTGGAGAGAACTCTGGGAGATACTCCATTAATCCTGGATTAAAAAATTATTTCCTTATTTTCTAGCAGTAATAAATAACTAATCAATTATAATTACTAATAAAAATTATGGATCCATAGCAGACCAAGAGGAGAGGACTCAAACCTTTGCAGGAAGACAACACAGTTATAAAAGTTACCCTCTACCTCTAGGATGATTCCAGAATTACTTTTAGTGCAAGAACAAAGCAATTTCATTTTGTCATGACATTTTTTTTTATAGTGAGGAAAACTTTTAAACCATTAATAAAAATATTATCTGAAATGGTTGTCTTTATCTTATGACCTACACCATCTTACATCAGGCTTCATGGGGAGAAGGTTGGAGCCTTTTAGCCTCTTGGCATCGTGACTTAGTCTGGAGTCTCATTCATTATTAACATAAACAGTTGACAAAATGCCCTGAGGCAAAATATACTTGAGAAGGGAGGAAGCCTAAGCAGATAAATAATTTTGCTTTTCCTAGCAATACACACACACACTATAACATACACACACATTCATAGAACATATTTACTAAATGCCTGCATTTAGGCAAACTTCTCTCACTCACCTCCATCTACATTGCTTAATTCCTTACCAGTTTTTTCCCTTAGCATGAGAAGGGAAACATAAAATAACTTTAAATTCCAATACCATGCAAAGAGACCATGTAAAAATCATATATAATGCATCTTCAGATTTGCATTTGAAATCTTGTATTAGGTATGTGACAGATTGAAAGCATTTTAGGTGGAACACCAAGAAATAATGTTGGTCTAAGTACATGCTTTATTTTATCAGAGGGAAGAAAGTGATTTCAGGAAATAGTCACTGCTTAACCTACCACAGTTTATTGTCTTCAGGCATCGTTGCTTCTAACTACTGGATAAAAGCATGAAATTTTTGTGACCAATCCCACAGAAGTAACTGCTGCATTTTTGCTCAGGAGTCCACACTGTTCTTTTTATAGATCAGTGGAGCAGGCTGCTTTATTGGAATGGACTATAAGCACAGAGAAAAATGTAAAATGGCTGTATCACTAATCAGGAAGAAATGTGGTAAGAGTCTGCCGACATAAAGATATGGTATATCCAATATCACTAAATTGTATGAGCATAAATATTCTTGAGATATTAATTGTGCCTGCTACATGTGCTGTTTCCCATAGGAAAAAAAAAGACCAATGACTGGACAAGAATTTTTCCTTCCCTGATGAAGGCAAACATGTTGATAGCCTATGACCCAGCATGTCATTCTCCAACCTATAGACACTAGAAAAACTCTTGCACGTGTACACTTAGAGACATGTAAAAGAGTGTCCTTAGCAGCTATGTATGTAATAACCAAACATGGAACCCAAATGGCCATCAACACCATAGTGGATAAATAAAGCAGGGCTTATTCATACAGTGGAATACTTGGCAGCAGTGAAAATAAATGAATGAACTGCAAACTCACATGACTCAGGAACATATGTTGAATGAAAAAGTAAGCCACAGAAGAATACATACAGTATAATATAATGTATATAAAGTTCAGAGACATGTAAGATATAATGATATATTTGGCATGGATTCAGACATATGCAATGAAACTATACAGAAAGGCAAAAGAATGTTAAGGTCACATTAGGATAGGGTTACCTCTGCAGGGAAAGCAAAGGGGGAAAGGATTAGGGAAGATCTGTACAAGGATTCACAAGTAATAATCATGTTCTTTTCTTAAACTGGGTAGTGGGTGTTCACTGCCTCATGTTTCATTATACCTTTACATATGGCTAATTAACCAACTTTTTAAGATGGTGTAATTTGTTGATTCTTTCTTTTCCCCAGAATTTGACTTCATGATCCAAAGCTAGGAGCAGAATAACAGTAATCCATACCACACTTAGCGCTGAAATTTGGGATAGGAATCAACCATGACCCCTTGACATCTAATCTAACACGATGACCTGGTAACAAGGAATTGGCAACGAATGATTTTTCTGCATAGAAGCCTTTCAGTTTGTTCAGCTATTACTGATGTCAATAATAGGGTACTGAAAGCATTCCTTCATAAAACGGTGTTTAGATATCTGTTCTTCAGTATTCTCTCTCTAAAAGCAAGGAAGAAAGAAACAAGGCAAAACACAAAACTTTGTCAAATCAGTCCTAACCCAATCATAATGCTAAAGTATACAGATATTGACCTCTATAAATCATTTCTGCTCTGCCAGTCACAGAACAAAGGTGGTGGTATTTTCCCGCAAAGGAGGCCAATTAAAGAAGCTTTAGACTGTGTACTTTCCCAAGAAAGGTAAGTCAAAACTCAGAAATAATGCATCAGAACTGAAGAGAGCTAGAGGGTGGTCAGGGTTGGGACAGCCGTGGGAGAACGCTGCAGAGACACCCAACCCAGACTGGGAGTTCGTGAAAGCCTTTGCAAGGTAGGAGAAGCTAAGCTCCATGCTCAAGAATTAATAGAAACTACTAGAGGATATGGCTTGGGGGAAGAAAGCTCCAGGCAGCTACAGAGAGGTGGTGAGTTTTGGGGAATAAAAAATTTCCCTGCAGAGATCTGCAAAGATGACATGACTGAAGTTCGAAGTTAAGTCTAGATTGCAGCCTCCTGCCACATCATGCCCCACCCCAGACATGGGGCAGCATAGAGCAGACCTGAGGAGGAGGGCTATGGAGTCTGGAGACTGGGACTGAATCCCTGTCTGTCTCCAGAGTCATCATTTCAGCTTAAATGTTCAGTTATTACTGCTAATCTACCCTTTGTGCTGTAGCCACAGAGGTGGTGTGATCTTTCTAAAATACAAGTCCTGCGTCTCCCTGATTTAAAACTCAACTACTGGCTCCCCATTGCCTAAGACAAATACTCAACTTCTTAACGTAGCTTTCAAAGTCTTGGAGCAATCTGACCTCTGCTTCCTCCTCCAGCCTCATCTACCTCGTGCTTTCGGCAGCATTAACTCATCTCAGCTCTCCAGCCCCTCAGCCCCCATGCTCTCTCAGCTTTGCCTGGAACATATCTCCTCACCTTCCTCGCCAAAAAACTCCTGCTACTCTTTAGATCTTAGCTTGGCAATGTAGAATAGGAAACGTGTAATTTATTGAATACACACACACACGCGCATTTTATAAATTCATGTAAATTTATCTGTATGATACTGTAGATACTTAGAATTTAAACATTTGCAAGTCAGAATCTATACTGCTTTAATATATTCTGCATAGAGCACAATGTGCCTACAAAATTAACATTAAACAATAACACAAACCAATTTACCATTTCTTGGGAGCAATTTTAAAAAGACATGGTAGTTGTTCTAGCATCTATTGGGAAATAACTATGTTATATACACATTTTTATCAATAATTATCATTTAATATAAACTATGTTTAATATAAAATGTCCATGAGTTAAGGCATGGGTACTTGTATATGGGTACATTTCATATAAAATGTACCCAATTGTAAAAGAGCATCAAACTAATACATAACAGATACCCATTTTGCCACAAATCAGAGTAGAGAGGAGGTTTTTCTGTTACTCAACAGTAGGCAATACTAAAAATCTGATCATGGGGGAAAGATGCAAAAAAAAAAATTGCCTATAAACTCAGGGGTTGCTATCGATCTATATGATGGTCCCTCTTTTGCTTCAACCAGCAAACCATCACGAGTGTGACAAGTGAACCTTAAGACTGCAACGAGAAAATTCCTCTTACCTCGGCATCAAAGCGAGGATCCTGGTAGGCATCACTGATGTTCACCGGAAGACCGGTGGAAGCCACGAGCTCAGCAACACTGTTATTTATGAGCCAGTCGGAATATGATGATTTCTCCATGCTTTCTCTGAAACTATCAAAACCAAAGCAGGCAGTGAGAAAATAGAGAAACATAAATTTGCTTGAAAGCAAATCTCATAAAATTATACTCATAGTAGGATTATCTATCCCCCTTAAAAAGGGATAAGTGACTTGAGTCACAGACTAGCAAGGTAATTATCAATAGCTACTTCAAAAAAACCTACCTGATGTAATGTAAAATAATAGATTCCCTGTGATCCAGAGAACCACTCTAGGTTGTATTTAGGCCAAAGCAGACAGACATAAAGTAAGTAATCAAGTAATGACTGAAATTGACAATAGGATGCTAACACCATAGCATAATAAATTCCACTGACCTCCCAAAACCTACACCCCTTAACTGAGCAGACTGGATGTTTGACATAGGGAAAAATTAAGCCCCAGAATGGGGAAAAATCAGGAAATAAATTAGGAGTTTACAAAATTTTAAAGGCAGCAAAAGAGCAGATCTAGACCATGCGTAATCCTAGTAATTACATAACTACTTCTCCAGTATGTCTCAGAGTTTCTTAACAAAACACATTTCCTACTTACAAAATCTTACTGGAAAACTCTTTTTAATGCTACTGACCCCTAACATTAATCATTTGAATTACATCCATATTTGATTTGAACAGGAATTTTATGCAAAATGATTTTGTGAACTTTCCCTTGTATCACGTTCACTACACTCATCAAATTTACAGAAAGGGCGTAAGAATTAGTAAGATTCCCTACTCCCCTCCCTCCCTTCTACCACTTCTTCCCTAAGTGCAAACTGAGCACTGCCGGGAGCTATGGAAATGCAAAACTGAGTACTGTTCAAAATCATGACATCAAGGAACATTTTCATGGAGGATGTGAGGTTTGTGGCATGGCAGGTGATAACTGAAATTACATAAATGAATGCAAGTCTACAGGGGAGACATTTTCCAAACCACACTCTGTGGAATCCTAGGTTTCAGGACACGTGAGTGAGGGCACCACAGCAAGAAGAGTAAGAACTCTATTGACTTTTTAATCTAAACTGCCCTATATGTAAGGAAAATACTAACCACTGTCACAAGCCATTGCTACTATGCAACGGTGCGCCGCAGTGTGGAATTTGTGCCATCCCGAGGATCTGGGGCACAGAGACGCCCCTGGATGCATGAAGAATTGGGAAGCAGAGGCATTCTTTAGCACCATCCGTAGACATCATCTGTAATGGCTGCTGGTCTGTGTCTGGTGAATGTAACATTTACTGGTGATGTTATTCATCCCTGTAGCCTCTCAGGAGAGGAATCAATGAGTAGGAGTAGAGCAAGAATAGTAGGTTCTCACCTACAGGAAAGAAGGGAGTGGCAGTCCACATACAGGGAGTTTCAGGGAGACACTGCTAATCATAAACACTGCAGTCTGAGACTGTATGCAGTCAGAAGAAGAGAGAGGAAAAGACATTGGACTTGATCGTCCAGGGCCATAGGTCCCTACTTAAAAATTCCCAAGGAAGATGATGATGAGAACACTTACTGAGCAGGGGCTCATGGGAGATTCATTCTAAATCTAAACATGCTTAGAACTGGGTTTAGTTCAGGCTACGTACATACTGCAATCACTCTAAAATTGTAGGACAACGTAAGACAGTCAACTCTGTGCAAGGCACTGCACATAAACACAGTTGAGGTGGTTTCTAAGACGTATAAACTATGGTCTCTCCCCTCATGGAGGTCTCCACCTAGATGGGGAGATGACACTTATACAATGACCACTTTAAGCACTCAGTTCAAATTTCAAATGAGAAATGTGTCACATGGCGGTGTTGACTAGTTGCCAAGTCAACGGTACCGATCAGGAATGCAAAAGAAGTGCAGGGAGGAAGCAGCGCTGAGACTGTTGTCATGGGGTAAGGCTACAGAAGGGAGGGGAGATTTTAGTGAACCTATAGCTGCAACAGTGCAAGCAGATGTTCTGAAAACAACCTCTCCATTTCTTCAGTTTAATGGTGCATGGGTACATAAACTAAGGCCCAGCGTGACAGAATGCTCAGAGATGGCAGGAAGGATGATTGTCACTCTTGAGTATTTATATCACATTCTGGCTTTTGCACCAATTCAACCTTCCAAATCTTAAAATTTTACTGTAATGCAGAATTATGATGTTGAGTTAGAGCTTTCAAACCCTTGCTTTTTTTTTTTT